CAATTTTTTGTATAAATAATTCCAGAGGATGAAACAAAATGCACAGCAACAACCAGAGTGAGCCAGAAGATAGCAGGAGAAGTAGTGAAGAGAATGACAACCATGAACAACAGTGAGTTATCCTTCTTTCACCAGCTAACTGAGAACTTGGATTAGGTGAGACACTCTCAATAGTTGTATCAGTATTCAGTCAGTTTTAGTTTATTAGGAATACATAAAACAAATAGTCTAATCTGTCCTGCAGTGAATCAACCCATCACAAATGCTACAATGTTTTTGTAAAACCTTGTTAGGGAAAAAAATAAACAGGACATTCTGGTTAGTTATCTTTTAAACATGGTAGTGAGCAGGTTATGAGCAGGAGCCAGTTGCTCAGTACCAGCTGAAAACTAGCCCAACCTAGCTGCCATGCTTCAAAATAATTAACCAGTATATGATTTATTTTTTTTAAACAAGCTTCTTCTATGCTTATGTTAGTCTGTTTGTCCTTATCCAGAGTTCTTCATAATCCTGGACTGGGCCAAATCCTGACCAGATGCTGTGGTGGTCATGGAGGAGTGAATCCTAAAAGACACACGTGATCAATGAGTTTCCGCATTGATCCAATGGGCCAGCCTGACCACCCGCTGGTGAACTTTCAAGCCTCTGGTGCCTAGACTGCGGCCTTGCACAAGTTTGGCTAGAGGAGAACTGGTCGTGCCCAACTGAGCCTGGTATCTCTCAAGGGATTTTATTCTACACTTTCGTCAGTTGGTGAAGTTTGTTCCATGCCACTGTCTCCACTGGATCACTTGGCTACGATTGGTGGATCGGTGGATTTGCTCTTCAGTGTTTGGACTTTCAGCAGTGACATTTACTGCTTCAATTCTGAAAACTGGACTGAAGCAGCTTCAATTTACAAGAACTTCTATGTTAAGCTGCTTTGACATCATTGATCTACATTGTAAAAGTGCAATAGAAATAAAGATGAATTGCATTTGAACATGTGAATTCAGACCTTGTTGAGCATTTGACACCAGAACTAGTAATATTTTAAAGTTGGGTTGTTTCTGAGTCGGCTAACAGTTACAAATATTTATTTTTCCAACAATATGCAATTCAGAAGTTTAAATTTTTATTGTACATGTATGTTCTAGTGCTTTGTGTGATTTATTTATTTTTAATGTGTTGATTTTATTGCTTAATGTAATTTTCACACATTTTCCTTAAATGCTTTAAGCATTATTAATGTTTTAAAGAATGGAATATTTTGTAATTGTGTCTGGTTTAATGTCAGTAGTACTTAGTACAATTGGGTTTTTTTTTCTCAACAATATGCAGGTCAGACACTTAAATTAGTTTTGTACATGTATGTTAATGTGCTTTGTCATTTTCAATGTTTTTTTTTCTTAAAATAAAATATTTTGAATGATTGAAATGTAATGTTTTTACACATTTTTAAGCTTGTTTTAAGCATCTCCAATGTTTTAAATAAAGAGTGTTTATTTTGTTAATATTTTGTAATTGTGTCTTTTTTAGGTCTATAGTATTAAAATAATATTAATAAAATTATATTATAAAATATTTAGGACAAAATTAAAAGGTTTACAGTAGCTAACTGTTAACTTAGGTTTTTACAGTAGTTAACCATTTTCAGACACTACAGTAACATGCTGTAAACGGATTTACAGTTGTATACTGTAAATCTAAAATACAGTAACTTACTGGCAACAGTGTTGCCAGTAAGTTACTGTAAAAACCCTTTGAAATGTCTAACAGTGCATATACAGAATCTCAAATATTTAAATATAGAATCGATATGTGTTTGTGGTTCTTTATGGATCAATTGATGCCAGTGAAGAGCCTTTATTTTATGTATGCATATAGTCTTAAAAATAAAAGAGTTCAGATGCAAAAACCATCTTAGTGTCATCTTAAATTTGCTTCTAAAATTATTTTTTTTCTTAGGATCCTATATTTGTGTTCAGTTATTTCAACGCAATCTCACAGCAATTCATAACTTTTTGATTTAGTGGCTAATTCATATTAATTTGTATGATCTCAAGCTGCGGTCACACTGGGCTTTTCCTCCCATAGACTTCCATTCATACGCACGCGAATGCGTCAGACCGGAAACACAGGGTCATGTTCAAGCTTGGTGAACTATGATCTACGAAATTGCATCACTTGACTGCGTGAGACCAATTGAGGATCAAAACATGACCTCTCTGGACAGAAATTTAAAACATGGAGCAATCGCTTGCTTTTAATGCCCAATAATCTTGTTTATTCCCACCCCTTTTCGCAGTGCCGTATGACAGAATTTCGCATTATCAAACTTTTTTTGTTTTGTTTGTGTGTGTCATTATACAATTTAGTATGATTTGCTCATCACCCAATGACGGTTGGGGTTAGGGGTGGGGTTGGGTGCCACGTCTCCTTTTTAAAATCATACATTTTTGTATGACTGAACTCGTACGAATTCGTACGAATTAGCCACTAAACTGACAAAACGTAAAATATGTTTCCTCGTGAGATCAGGCTGGTTATTTCACTTTAAAGGCAATAACATATTATTTGACAAAAGTGGATTTACTAATCATACACACAGGAGCTTGAGAAAAATGTCCAATTAAGGAGAAATTTTCAAACAGCTTTTAGAGGTTTTTGCATCTGAACTCTTCATAAAATATATATATATATATATATATATATATATATATATAAATATATATATATATATATATATATATATATATATATATATATATATATAAATATATTTCCATCAATACATTTGTCAATTAAAACATATTAACTGGCAAGCCAACTTAACTTTGAAATTTTAAACTCAAATGTTTTCTGGCAAATGAAATTCTGCAAATAACATGCATAACTTAACCTCCGTTAAATCGAACACATTGATGCCTTGTGTCGGAATAAGAGAAGACAGTTGGTGCTGGGGCCTGGCAGGGTACCCACATAGCAAAATTTCTCTGGCCCTGCTCTGACCCACACAATCAGGTTTTGCTTGGCCCACGTGCCGCAGTGAATTACGGTACATAACTGGACCAAGTCTTGTTTTCAGGCAAGAGCCAAACATGAACAATATCTGGGCCAAGTCTCAGCCAAGTTAATAGCCCACAACTGAGCCTGAACTGGGCCAGATAAGTTGGTGTGTCACGACTGCAATGAAATTGAGAAACCCATGAATCATTGCACTTTAGGCTTGCTATATGGGCATTTGAAGGGACCTGATTGGTAAAACTATTTCTTTATTTGAAAATAATAAAAATACGTTTTAAATGTTGGTCAAGATAGGCCAAACTTACCTGGCCCACATATCAATTATTACCATCTGGGCCAAATACTACATTTTACATCTGGCCCACATATCACTTAACATCTGGGCCAAATACTACAATTTACTTCTGGCCCAAGGATTGTGTGCCACCTTGAAGACGATGCCATCTCTGCCAAACCAGGGCCATTTTTGGCCCACATGCTGTATGCCAGTGGATGAATGCCTGCTGTGCTGGATTTATGCCAAATATAGGCCAGAATTATTTGCTACCTGCGTAGAGTTGGTGCACAGCAAAATCCTCAGAGTAAAATTTACTCAGTTCAGAGAATATTTGGTCCGTCTCTAAATTGAGTAAAATTTACTCAGTAGCAGAGTTAAAGTTAATGAGACAATGATGGGGTTAATTAAGTGTTGATTAAGCACTGATGATGAACACCTGCTGTTAATAAGCAGAAAAAGAGAAGAGAAACACTAAATTACAACAGACTTCGGTCACAGCCATAGATGAAATAAACTGAAATAAAACACATCAAATTTATCAAAATCTCAGCAGAGGATCATGAAGCAACTCCACAAACAACAGCTTTACTTATTAACAAAACAATTGTTTGGTCTTACTTCTGCCACACTCTACAAAATTCCATATAGTGATTTAACTAAGTATTTTTTTACAACAACAATAAAAACAAAACACTTTTTGTGTTTTAAGCTGTCGCCATTGAGGAGAACAGTTGCTTTACTTGGACACTGACACAATTTCTAATGATTTGTTAGCCAAAAGGTGTATTGAGGCAATTATTGAATAAAGAGACCATGTGCTCTGGATAGTGGATATTTGATTCTGTTCAAATCAGATTATTCAATTGCCACAATCCTAGGAATACCTTCCTTCCTTTCTTAGTTCCTGCCTTTCTTAATTCACTAGTGACAACTTGCTCCAAAGTCAATGAGACAACCTGCTCCAAACTGACAATTGTGCTAAAGTTGGCTAAATGTCAGGGTTAGCCCAAGTCAGCAAATGTATCAAAAGACACGTTACCCTCTCATCTATTTTGTAACAATGTTGTAATGAATAAAATTTGAAAAGTGATTTGTTTTTACTTTTTAGGCCAAAAAATAAGTGTGCTAACCTTAAATCTTGAACAGAACACATGTGAACTGACTAAAGAAAAGTCACACAAAATATCTATTTAATTTTTTTAGATAGCAATAGCACCTAGAGTTATGAACAGTATGACAACTTACCCCACTCTCCCTACACAACCCATATCTGAATCTGGCCAAAAAAAGCTGATCAAAAGTCTCTAAAAAGTTGATCAAAAAGGTTCCACATGGGATTTTCGCAATAGCATTATAGCTGGCTCTCCATGTTATTAGAAGAAACTTGTTTTTAGAGTGAAGAACCTTTCTTTTGTCCCCTCAGACTATTTATTTTAATGACATTTTTTAATATATCTCCATTAAAACTTTAGCAAAATGCTGATGCACCTTTAAATCACGCCAGTTTCCCAAATTTGGCAAAGAGATCCCTATTTTGACTTTCAGTAGGACATGCACCGTCACGTCATAAATCCAGCAGCACGGAGTCTTGGAGGGGGTTTCTCAACGTCACGACGCGGTGTTTCCGTCAGGTCTCTGCGCAAAGCCGAAGCATTAATACAACTCTCTCTCTCTCTCTCTCTCTCTCTCTCTCTCTCTCTCTCTCTCTCTCTCTCTCTCTCTCTCTCTCTCTCTCTCTCTCGAAGTACTGCAGATACAGAGCAGCAGCAGCGCTGAAACACTGTCAGCTTTTGCTTTAGTTACCGCGGTTTTAACAGGACACACATACATGATTATTGATTAGCATCGGCGGCCGGCTCATAATGGAGAACCAGCATCGACATCTCATCTTCTCAGCTCCGTAAAGGGTGAGTCAAAGCTTTCGGACTTTCGCCTCGTAATTTTGCTGCATTAGCCTGTACTCTAATAAAACAAATTTTAATATTAGTTTGTCAGAAGACCAAAGACGAGGATGCACAAATCAGCATTATGTTGTCGGACAGCTCAGTTGTCCAAGAAGCAAAAGTTATTTTCTTCCAGACTTGTAGAATTTAAAGACTCTAGCGTAACTAACAGTGATTTAGATCGATCAGGCTAACGTTAAGTCTTAAGCATTAGTTTATAATAAATTACGTTCAGTGATTTACTGTATGATTACCGGAGGGTGTCCGGTGATGAGAGGAAGAGACTGAGCGCTGTTCTGGAGTCAGTTTTGACATGAGCGAAAGCGACTGATCGGTGGCTGGAAGAGAGCAGAGCGCGCGCATCTCCCGCCGCGGGCAACACGGCCACTGCAGAGACACTCACACAGACACTAAATTACTTTTTTAATGCTTACATTTTTAATGCTCATTCTTGGGTATGATACCCATGAGGTAACATAATTAGTGTAACATGGCGAGAAGACTTGAAAAACGAGCCATGGCGTGCTCATAAGAGTTTTTAAATCTTCACAGATTAAGAAATGTGTTTACTGCAATCAACAAGCTTTATATTTATGGGGCAATGTTAATGCTGCTTACTATAATAGCTTCCTTTTAATTAATTAATTAAATAAATAAATAATTAATTCATTCATTTTCCTTTAGCTTAGTCCCTTTATTTATCAGGGGTCACCACAACGGAATGAACCACTAACTTATGCAGCATATGTTTTACACAGCGGATGCCCTTCCAGCTGCAACCCAGTACTGAACACACACTCATTCACACACATACACTACAGCCAATTCAGTTTATTCAATTTATCCTATACCGGGAATACATGCAAACTCCTCACTGAAATGACAACTGACCCAGTCGAGTCTTGAACCAGCGACCTTCTTGCTTTAAGGTGACAGTGCTAACAATTGTGCCACCATCACTCCATCTAATCTATAGGCCAATTCTATTGGGGGTACATTTTCCTTCTCCATACAAACCTCTCTCACTCATTCACTTAATCATTTGCTAACTCACTTACACAGTCCCTGATTTATTGCCACAGCGGAATGAACCATCAATTTCTCTGGCATATGCTTTACACAGCGTATGATCTTCCAGCACTTCCAATTTATTTATTTAATTTACTTAAAAGCTACTGCATGTCTATGCATGGGGAAAACTGGAGCACCCTGAGAAGAACATGAAAACTCCACACCGATAGACCTCCTGGTCCAGCCGGAACCATACTAATCATTTAGTACACACTGCGCTGCCCCGCTGTCTAAAAAATACTAACTTCACAAAAAGAACACCTTCGTGCTTTAAAACAAATTTCTCATTTTTTATTTTTTAGTGTTTTTGCCTCCTGAATTATACGTTCAGCTTCATCTATTCATGCATTCATTCATTCATTCATTCATTCATTTATTCATTCATTCATTCATTCATTCATTCAGTCATTCATTCATTTTCCTTCAGCTTAGTGCCTGATTTATTATCAACTACTGTGGCATATGTTTAATTTATACTGCGGATGCTCTTATAGCCGCAACCCAGCACTATGGTGGAAATGCATTCCGCTTCAATTATATGAAGTCAGAATTATTAGCCCCCTTCGATTTTTTTTCTTCTTTTTTAAATATTTTCCAAATGATGTTTAACAGAGCAAGCACATTTTCACAGTATGTCTAATAATATTTTTTCTTCTCAACAAAATCTTATTTGTTTTATTTCGGCTAGAATAAAAGCAGTTTTGAATTTTTTATGAACCATTTTAGGGACAAAATTATTAGCCCCTTTAAGCTATATATTTTCTCGATAATCTACAGAACAAACCACTGTTATACAATAACTTGCCTAATTTCCCTTACCTAACTAGTTAACTTAATTAACCTATTTAAGCCTTTAAATGTCACTTAAGCTGTATAGAAGTGTCTTGAAAAATATCTAGTCAAATATTATTTACAGTCATCATGTTAAGATAAAATAAATCAGTTATTAGAAATGAGTTATTAAAATTATTATGTTTAGAAATGTGTTGAATATATATATATATATATATATATATATATATATATATATATATATATATATATATATATATATATATATATATATATATATATATATATATATATATATATATTATATTATACTATTGGGACTATTATATTTATTTGCACATTCTACTTTTTTATAGACTAGTAGTTCCCTAATGTATGGATGTATGTTTTACATGTATTTATTTGACATTATATCCACATAAATTTTGAAAATGTAAATTCTCAAAAAAAAAAAAAAAAAAAGGTTGCCAGTACACTGTAAAATTAAAAAAAGCAAAAGAAAATAAATTCAGTCAGTTGTTGCCAGTGTTTTCCCATAAATCTAAGCTTTTAATTTCAGTCACTTTAATCTCATTCAGCTACAGTGCAGCTCTGAGTTTGTATATCTTTGAGGACTGTGATGCTGCATTAACCAGGCTTTTATCTTTGCCTTCAGAAATTTCATTTTCTCCACTCTGCCTCATTAGACAGCATTTTAAGCACTGATCAATTCATTTACATTTATAACTAAGCTATACAGTAGCATTGTGTAAAAATGCAGTTTAATTTGTTCTTTAAGATTGACGTCCCACGGGATGATGAAGCTTTTGTGTTTCTCTTGCTTTTAGTTTGCATGAACCATGTCTGATGTTCAGACTTGATTGTGCTCCTGTAACAGCATTCATGCTGGTGGGAAGGCTCTGTTTCCGATTGAGAAAAGGCTTTATTGAATTACCTGCTGAATGAAGCAGCCGGCCATGTCGTGATCGAGAGCGACAAGCCTCATATAATCCAAGCCTACATTTTTTTTCTCTTTAGTGTGCATGGCAATACTTCATATATATTAGGAAACCTTGATGTATCATTGATTTTGGAGATGTGGGAAATGCACTCTCAAGATGAACTTTTAGGTACAGACTACAGAATTACGTGGGATTAATCTGTTAAACATGTTCAGAGGGATCAGCCCCTACAGTATCTGAATGTGTAAACATTATCAACACTGTCAGTTGAAATTATATACACTCATTCAGATATTTTTTATCATTCCAAATGTGGCTTTCAGATGAATTGAGACTGTCAAACTGGTTTTCAGCCTCATCATTCAGACAGAACATCTTGTGCTAACAGTGTTTGGTGTTAGAATAATAATATTTGATATTATGAGTTACATATTCTTAGCAGTTGTTATATATTTTTTTCTGTGTGCTTCAATACAATTTAGAAAAGTAGCAAATCATATAAAATGTAATATTAAAATTAATTAAATCTCTGAAAACAGCAATCAATATTTTAGGAATTTATTTATTTATTTATTCATTCATTATTATTATTTATTCATTCATTCCACACAGTAAAAAAGGCATTCATTTTCACAGCTTAAAATATAAAAGAGGAAAATTTGTGGCATTTTCCCTATAATATATTTATTTTAAATAAATTTGTTATAAATTAATAAATAAATTAATAACAATATTCATGCTAGTATGATCATTAAATAAAACAATATATATAACTGAAATATAATCATAAAATTAAACGTTTATTGCCAAATTTATTTCTAAGTCTAAAAGTAAATCAGAAAATGCTGGTATTATTATTTTCTTTGTTTCCAGACAGCTTATTCACACTCCAACAGGACATTTTGTTTTTCCTCTTGCTCCATAATATCATCAGTTCCTGAAGCAATCTCTCAGCACAAGATGCCCTAGCCAGTGTCCTTCTTGAAGGGGTCTTTTTTTAATGTGATTATGTCCTCTCCAAACCATTAGGAGATTGAACCTGGCTTATTCACAGTGCTTGACTTTCCTCTTGTCTGCATTTCAGTTTATGCATTTCAAAGTCAAAACTGCTACAAAAAACATTGAAAACGTTTTGATCTTGTATACATTTTGGTATGGCAATTTGGTATTCTAGGATTTTTTGTGTGTTGTTTGCATATATACTGTACATTAACCAAGTACTCCTGCAAGTATTGTGCTCAAATTAAATTGAAAAAAAAGAAAAAAAATTAAAACTGATTTTTTTTTCTTTTTTTAATATTTCCCAAATGATGTTTAACAAAGCAAGGACATTTTGACAGTATGTCTGAAAATATTTTTCTTCTGGAGAAAGTCTTATTTGTTTTATTTTGGCTAGAATACAAAAAATACAGATTTAATTTTTTTTTAACTTATTTAACTTATTTTAAATAACAAAATTATTAGCTCCTTTAAGCTAACTTTGTTTAGTCTACAGAACAAACCGTCGTTATACAATAACTTGCCTAATTACCCTAACCTGCCTAGTTAACCTAATTAACCTAGTTAAGCCTTTAAATGTCACTTTAAGCTGTATGGAAGTTTATTATATTTATTATATATACACTTATATATGTTTGTGTGTGTGTGTGTGTGTGTCCAGTTCTCAAATCTGATTAACAACAGTCCCAAAATAACAGCACTCATACAGCCTCATTACCCTTGTGTATTACTTCTGCAACATAGAGTGCCAGGAAATTAATAAACTCACTACAGTTTGACAAATATTGCAGCTGTTGGACAACATAATGTACCTTCAAGGCTTTTTAGGCGAGAATGTAGTTGTTTAGATTGCAACTATTAAGACGGCTGCTGTACTATGGTGTAACATATTTCAGATAATTTAGTATTAAAATTAGTTCAAAACAACATCACTGCATAGTCTGATTTTTAAAGTCCTTTCAAATCCTGCTCACACACACACAAAAAAAAAGTAATAAGGGCACAATTGCTGGCACAATTATAGCTAGCTAGGGACTGTTTTCAAGTGCTGCATAATATTATTGCACCTGATGCAGCCATGGTACAGCAACAAAGTTCCTTGATTTTTAAGCCAAAATGAGAGTTTAAAGCCATGTTCAATTGAGAAAATATTAACTTTTA